TCAGACCCACACACCCACATCTTACGATCAAAAGGTGGTGGTGGGATAAGAGGCAAGAGGGTCTATGGATGAAAATCTGTGGAACAGAAAAACATGAAAAAGCTTTGGGAAAAGTAGGAAGGGGAAAGAGGCTTCTGGCAGACGAGCAAGAAGTAAAAAAGACAGCCCAAGAGGGGAGAACAGATTTCTGAAGAGAGCCATGGGATACAGACAGCCTGAGGGAGCTCAGTGCACTAGGCAGGGCTCTGCTTTCTTTTTCAAGTTATTTTAGGGGGAGCAGCTGTGAATCTAACAAATAAACTGAGGCTACCTGAGCTTTTGTAGGACCCCTCCATCCCTCCTTGGTCCAAGCACACTCTCAGAGACATCGCAGCATGGAAAACCCTGATTACTAAAGCAGCGGCCGAATGTCAATGAGACAGGAGACATGAAAGGTCTTTGACAACCATGTCCCACACTACAAATATGATGTAATGTTATCCACTGAGCCCCTGGGACAAATAAGATAAAGACCTTTATAATCATGAAGAAAGAAGTACTTATCAAATGGGGAAAGTATGTATATTCCACGTTAAGTTACCCCTAACTAGGAATTCCAGTTATCTTTCAGAACATCATGTTTGGTATGTTTACTTTCCTGGCAAATATATACATGTTTCAACATTTTAAAAATCCTACCTGAGGCATAATATGGAACTTTTCCCTCCAGTGCTGGGGAATGGATCCAGAGTCTTCACACTGAGCACACCCCTACCCCTATTACTGAACTTTTCATAAATTATCACACAGATCTATTAAAACTTGTGTCTGCATCTAATGTAGCTCTTCAAGGTTTCAACACATTACAGATCTTAACTAATTAGGCTAATTCCTTGGATTGCTCCTTGAGTGGCTTCCAAGTGCAAGGTAGTGTGCTGGCTGCCACCAGAGCTGCTGAGATGAGCAAGACAGCCCTGCCTTCGGTAGCCCGGCCAATTAAACTTCTCAGATTCCATTTCAGATTGGGCACGCTGCATGTCCTTTCACAAGTGTAAGAAGAAAGCAATCTTTACATTGCCTACAACCGAGGAAATGCATTTTCCAGCGACATAATCAATAAGAAAATAAGGGAACTTCTGAATACCTGGCAATTGCAGACACTGTTGTATGTTCATTTCTATGTTTATCCTAGCCCAGTTTATGTCCAACCACTCTTGTCATAATTGCATAATCACAGCATGTCATGTTGTTTCTTGTTGCAACTGTAACTTGTACAATTAAACTTCAGAACTGAGATAGTAATGCTAAATAATCGCCTACTTTTAAAATGTCTATAATTTACATGCTACTTCAAATAAGCTCTTGAATTACGATCTCTGAAGTCAAAACTGTCACCATTTTTAAATGCATAATTTCACTGTCACAATTTTCCTACACACAAGCCTTATCCCAGCTTTTGTAGTTTCTTAGCAGTATCTTATACTGTCTTGTAATCTGCTTCTCACGCTTTATCAAAAATCTGTTTAACACAACTTTTACTTCCCTTATAGTATGGAGTTAAAACTCAAAAGACTTTGAAATGGCCAAAATATGTGCTTACTTGCTAAAAAAATAATAATAATAATAAAACAAAAGTATCCCTATAAATTTTAAAAGAAAAATGTCAGTGAAACATTTGACCACCTGCCATGTACTGGTGGGGTCCTCACCCCTGCAGTGTTTCCTGTAACCCTCTGCTCACTTGGGTGGGTGTTGTTCACTCTATCCACCTCTACAATACCATTTTTTAAAAAGATTAACATTTTCATGAAAGCAAGTCTGACCCATCCAGTATCTGAGTGAATTCCTATTTACTTGATGTATAAGTTGATTTATATAGTCAATATGTTCCTGATAAGTGGGAGGCAAATCAACTCTTACATACAAACCATTTTCCCATAACTTTGCATTATAAGACCAGATCTGCCAGCCTTCATCTCTGATTGATAAACAGCAATGTGCTGCTCCAAGGGCTCGCTGGAGCACTGCGTCCATCCGTGTGCACATCCCCATCACTAACAACCCTCTGAGGAGTTTGGATTTCATTCCACCCATGGAGAGGTCCAAATTAAATACCTCAAACCACATAAAATAAGTGGTGCCCACAGTCTGAAATGTCAGCAGAATAGCAGGAGGAAAATACATACAGAACACACAAAGCAACGCCACCCCTCCTCCCTTTATATTTGGTTCCAATGAACTGGAGAAAAACAAAGTGTTGTACTGTAAGACAATGAGATTTGGACAATTTCTCTGCTAATTGACATTCTTCTTCCACAGAATTTCTGTCATATTCTCTCCTTGGGCCATCCTCAAAGAGAGCTGAAAGGAAGCTTGGAAGGACCTGTGTATTTAAATGTGCACACCCTAAAAGGTACTTTACACGGCTGCAAGTTTTACTGATAAGTTCAAATGAAGCTTGTGATACTTGGCATACTTGGAACTCTGTAAATAAGTCTCCTGCCATCTCCTGCCCTAACAGGAGGTTCAGGGACACTCTCTATCCAGTCTTTGATATCTGAGATATCAAAAAATATCCAGTAGAAGAGGGCTACAAGGAGCCTGGAACAAGCCACTCAAAATGTAACATGCAGGTTGGGCAGTGCCTGTAATCCCAGGGCTCTAGAAGGCTGAGGCAGGAGGATCCCAAGTTCAAGCCCAGTCTGGATTTACCAAGTCTCCAAATAAAATGTTAAAGAAGGGGTCTGGGGATTCAGCTCAGTGGTTTTGGTGCCTGCCTTGCAAGCGCAAGATCCTGAGTTTGATCCCTGGAACCAAAAGAAAAAAGTAAAAGGACTAGAGATGTAGTTCAGTGCAAAGGAGCTGGCTTCAGTCCCTGGTGAAAAAAAAAAACTAAAAAACTAAAACCTCAAACCACTTTTGACAGTGGCCTATTAATTCCTAGAAACCCACATGAAACCATAAAGTGAGGTGGGGTAGGGGAGGGATAAATTACTAGTCCAAAAAAACAAAATTGTCATTTTTCTCAACTCAGAGGGAAATGGAGTCAGCCCTAAAGAAGGAAGCTAGAACCTCAGGATCCTTGTAGAATGAATTTTCACTTTGGAGGATGTGAGTTCTCTCTACCACCAGAGGCCATTTTGGGGGGGAAATTTGGTCCAAATGAGTTAACAGCAAGACAAGGAGGCAGTGGCTCCTCCTCAGGCATCCATGATCCAAGGGCCCAGAGTGCCTGTCTTGGTTGATCTCCTGACAGCCATCTAGGGCTATTGTCTGAAGCTGATTTGCACAGCAGGAAACACTGAGAGATTACACTTTGATGCTGCCTATGTGCTCTATGAGGTGCTGGCCTCAGCATAGGTTCCAGGTCTATAAATACACTTGGATGTTCTATCATACACATTAGCACTTCCCACTTTATAAGTTGCAAAACAAAAGCCAGGGATATAGCTCAGTGGTAGGGTGTTTGCCTAGCATGCAAGCTAGGTTCAATTCCCAGAAAGGCAAAAAAATAAAAAAACAGGAAAACAAAAATAGATGATCAAGTCCAAATTAATTTCCACGTCTAATCAACTGCATTTCCAGTCAGCACAGAACATAGTCTGTTACTCGTTTAACCCAACTCTAGAAGTATGAAAAAACCCCAACTTCAGAAACATCATCTTCTCCTTCACCAGAACCAAAGTAGCCCTGACCCACTCCACCCATGTTTCTTTCTCTCCTGGTATATCTACCAGGATTGATTCTACCAAACTGAGCAGTTATTCTCAGTAGGTAGAAGGTGGGCCCATCCCCTTGAATGGGGAAGTGTTCCTTACATCTGTCTGTGTGATAAACTTGTCATTTCCTCAAAGGATCTTTAAAAAAAAAGCAGTACTACATGGAATCTATGGTGTGTCAGTCAGTCCCCTCCCAATCCCTGAGTCAGAGTGTGTGTCTCTACTGAGGTTCTGGCTGATCAGGCTGTATCACTTCCAGAGTCGCTCCAGTAACTGAATTTATGGCTGTCTTCCAGCCAGGGAGAACATAAGCTCTATCTATTTTAAAACAATTTTCCTAACCCACACTCAATGGAGGTATCTCATAGGTTGTCAACTTCCTATTGGAAACAAATCACTTCTCTCAAACTGTGCTTGCCATCGCTCAAGATTAATGCGTGTTTATGTGTGTATATTTTTATATTTGACCGTGTAGCTCTTGGAGCAAAGAAAGCCACCCGATTTCACCAATGTGCCTGTGCCTTTCAGAGCTTCTGAAGAGGAATGAATGGGTGATAAGAGCCCTTAAGCCCAGGGACTTCTCTCTCACAAACACTAAGTGGGGAAAAAAAAAAAAAAAACCCTCGGTAGAGGGAGGGGGCAGGGTGGATGATAGGGAAGGACATTAACCAGCAGACCAAAGGCACTTCTCGAACTGCCTGCAGAGGGGAGTGAAATCTGTTCAGTGTACAATACAAGCATCCTCCTGCTGCCTCGCACGAGCACAAATAATAAAAACACCGAGGAGGGCAAACATGCACCGAAACAAGCCACCCTGGAAAGGTCAAAACTTCAGAAATCCTGGGGACCACACCACCCACATAAACACATCAATTACTGGGAGCGGGAGAAGGGACTGGGAGACTCAGCCATGGATCCTAAATTTTGTTTTTTCCTCCCCAGCTCTGGCTTGCAAAGTACAGTGGTTTTAGGCAAAGCTAGAGACCAGCAGGAAGGCTGAGGGCGGCGGGGGTTGCGGGTGGGAAGGGAGGGGTGCCTAACACCAGCCACCCAGGCCTCACTGTGACGAAAGTCGTCAGCAGCCCCGACCGCATCCAGCCCATCCACCCAGGCCAGCAGACCCCCCCCCCCTGCGGCTCCCTCACCCCAGCTTCCGTCCCCTGCAGCAGCCCCGGCCCGCACCTAGCTGCCCGAGCCACCGCCGCGGCTCCCCTCTCGGCCGCGGCAGACACCCCGCAGGCCGCCCTCCCAGCCGGCCCGGGATGACCGGGAGCCCCGAGGCTGGCGACGGCTCTCGCTTACCTTGGGCGCTCGCGGGGGGCCGAAGGTGGCGAGCCCCCCGCCCCCCAGTCCTCCTCGCCTCCGCTCTTCCTCCCTCCTGCTCCTCTTCCTCCTGCTCCCCACAAGGTCCGGGCCCCCTCCCCGCGGCTCGGAGTCCCAGCCCAAAGCCCCGGCGCCGGCCCGCGTGCGTGCGTGCGGGAGGCGGCGGCGCGCGGCCAGCTCTCCAGTCACTGAGCGCGGCGCGGCTCCCAACTAAAGTGTGAAAGAAGCGGCGGCCGGCACGGAGCGTCCCCCGGGAGTGGGCAGGGAGCGAGCGGGCGCTGGCGGGGAGAGGGCGAGGGAGGGGATGGGAGGAGGGAGGGAGGGGACATCGGCGCCCAGTCACTCGCTCCGAGGGGCGAGGGGCGGGGGCACCAGACACTCCTCCGCCCGGCCTCCGTGGCTCCCGCTTGTTCTGCGCCCTCCCCGGGGAGGGGCCTGCGGAGGCCGCCGGGGCGCGGCCCCGGGAGGCAGGGCCGCGGGTTGTGCGCGCGTGTGTGCATGTGCGCGCTACCGGCCCGCGGGACGAGACCCTGGAGAGCAAGGCTTCGTCCCGTCTGGCCTTCCGGGCCGTCACTCAGTCATGCCGGAGCCCGAGCGGACGCAGCTCCACGGGAGATCGGTGCCCAGCCACCGGGCTTTGCCTGCTGGGGGGGGGGGGGGCGGAGAAGGTTGGCCCCACCCCTCCCCGGCCCTCCGGGCCCCGCCACCCAAGCGCCTCCACCCAGCCCCTCGGTCTTGGCGCCTGCGAGGTGAATGGAGCATCGGCAACGAGGAAGAAACGGCGCGGGGCTCCTGCACCCTCTCCCCGCTCTCCCCGGCCTCCGAGGACCGAAGGGTGAGGCCACCGTTGCGGGGAGATGAGTGGGGTCTAGAAACGCCGCCGTCTACCACTTCATCTGTGCAGGTCTTTGTGGACCCTCACAGAAACGATTTCCCACCCTCTGGGAAAGGGTGTTGTTCTCTCCTTCCCGGCATATTGGGTGGTTGGTGCGCGCACCGGATTGATCTCCACCGATGGTCTTTGGATGTCTTTTGTGCAGCTTCCCCTCGCTTCAGTGCTCCTTTATTGCCTCACACACGGGAGGAATGTCAGGCCCCCAGAGTGAGGACACCCAAGAAAACAATAGAGGCAAAAGATCCTCCTCGGGTCCTGCAGATTACACACAAACCGAATCATTTCTGTATTCGGCCAAAATGAAGTTGCAAAATGGAAACAGTCACAGAGCTATGACAGTGATGAAATACTTAATTGAAAAGCAAATTCATCCTAAAAAAAGAAAAGCAAATTCATAATTCACTTTAATTAAATGAGTTAGTAATCACCCATTAATGTCTAGTTAATCAGCTTTTTAAAAGACTTTTTCCCCTTTTCCACCCTTTTTTTCAACTTGAAAGGCTAATCTCACATTGTTCACGAAATTCAACTTGGATTCTATTTTGTAAAATTGCGCATATTTAGCCAGATGTGGTGGCACGCCTGTAATTGCAGCACCAGGAGGGCTGAGGCAGGAGAATCACCTTGAGTTCCCCGCCAGCATGGGCTGCATAGTGAGTTCCAGGCCAGCCTGAATGACATAGCAAGACCCTGTCTCAATATACCAAAAATAAATAATACAAATACCCATATTCTAATTTAAGTTTTTTTTTTGCAATCTGAATTTTTTATAGTCCAGCCAAAAAGCAGTGGTTAAGAAGGTGGAGGGTAGACAAACTGACATTCACCATCTCTACTACCATCACCAACTTATTTGACTTCCTTCAACCTTTCTTTCCTCATCTGTAAAATGGGATTGATAGTAGCAGTTCCTACCTCAAAATCTTACTGTGAAAGTAAAAGAAAAATAAAATGAAGTGACAGTGCATATAAATAAGACGCTTTACATTGTGCCCGACACATAGTAAGAAATGAATATGGGGCTGGGGATTTAACTCGAGGTCCCGAGTTTGATCCCTGGTACCAAAAAAAAAAGAATAGGCGCTACTAATTCAGTATATATTTTTGACCACAAATTTGGTACACTTTTTTCTCTTTATGTTCCTTTTTCAAAGGAGGGAGGTGGGATCGTTGCTGAATTTATCCAAATGTAGCCACTTCTTTCCTGGGGTTTATAGAACGTACTTGAAACCTACTACGAGCAAATGAAATAAAGCATAACTAAAACATGTGTGTACATATCTATATGTATGTAAAAGTAATGTGGAGGATCGCGCACCCTGTTCTTGCCCTCTTTGGCCCTCACCTGCACTGACCGCCCTGAAGGGATCAAGTTCTCTAAGGTCTTGTGCAGTGTTCCATCCCCCCAGGGACAGTGACGGGGAGGCTAAGTGGCCTCCTTTGACTTGACATCCTCAGAAGTCAGAGCAGGCCACAGAGCATGCAGTCTGTTTATGTGTAATACTCATCCACACTGTGAACTTGTAAAGCCTGCTCAAAAATTATTCAAGATACTACATGTTCATTTTGGAAAATTTCTCTCAATTTAATGTAATTCAAGCCAAGTGTGGTGGTTCATGCTTGTAATCTCAGAACTCTGGGAAGCTGAGGCAGGGTGGTTACAAATTCTAGTCTAACCTGGGCAACATAGGGACCCCATCTCAAAAAAGGGTGGGGAGTCTGGGATGTAGCTCATTGTGAAGGCCCTGAGTTTAGTCTCCCAGTACACACACACACACACACACACACACACACACACACACACAAAGTAAAATATTCAGGTAAGTATAGAGAAAAAAAAAATCATAATTCCACTATCCAGAGAGAAGGGCTCAATAAGTTCTTCAAGCACACTGTACCCATTTTCCCTTCATTTATTTCATTGTCATTAAGTCAGCAAACTAGTTAGCGACCTGGCAATTTACCAGATCCTAGAAAAGTGGTGGTGAACCTATGGCACGTGTGATGCAGTGGGCTGTTTGTATCATTGAAAGCTCCAAGGGGTTGGCCATCACTGTCCTAGACACACTGCGCAGTGTTAATAAGTGCTGTTTGTTTCTCAGATAAGTCATTCCTTAGAAGCAACGTTTTATGCCAGAACCTACAAAAAAACCTACAAAACCCCATGGAAGATATCCTAGAATTAAATGCCTGTGCTGACCAAAGCAATCCAGGTTTTGTAGGGCGTGAAACACAATCCAAGGAGTTATTTTTAAAATTAAGAAAAAGGACAAAAGTACAAAACCTCCTTGGAAGGGCTCAGGTACATGAACATCATGAAACAAGCCCTGTGGGCTTTTCAATAAGCTCACTTACTGGTACTGAAATTCCTGTAGAAATTCCTTGCTTCGATAAACATCCTCCTTTTCACCGGGGATCTCTGGGTCTTCTCTCCTCCCTTCCTCCATAGCTGTGGAAGGGATGGGAGTGAAGCCAACCACCACTCACCACCATGCACATTTTCTCACTCCTGGCCTCCAGGAACGGTAGGTCTGGGCACTTCTGCAGTGGCTGCGGAGGACAGGGCGGAAGAGCGCAGTGGCAGGGGAGGGGAAGGCAGGCGACCACCACGCTCTTGCGGCTCCCATTTGGGCCACCACTCCCCGTGCAACAGGAGTGGCTGCAAAGCTTCGTGGTCAACACAAACCACATACCCTAGAGAGTTGAGTACCCGATAATCTCTCCTGTTCTCCCTAATTATTAAGATACCCATAAGCATTCTTACATAAAAAGAAGGAAAAACATATATTTTCCTGGCCTTACCACCTCTGCCCCTCCACACTACCAAAATTTCTCAACTCCACCTTTAAACACTATAAACATAATTTTTGAAAAGAAAGATACTCTTTGTACAAACAAATTATTTTTTAATCTTCAAAGATGCCGTTATCATAATAAATTTTCTTCTGTTCCTCAATTTTAGCTTCTAGATACTTGGCCCCCAGAGGGCCATTCATATTACAACAAATTAAAATTTTTTCCTTTCCTCCTCCCCTCTCCCTCTTTTCCTCCTCCTTTCTCTTCTTCTCCTTCTTTTTCCTCTTCCTCTTCCCCTTGCTTCTCCTCCTCCTTCTTCCTCTTCTCTTTGGCGGCACTGGAAATTAAACCCAGAGCCTTCACACTCAACTACATACTTAGCCTTTTACTTATTTAATGTATTCATTTATTTTGTTTTTTAAGACAAGGTCTTTTTATGTACCCCAGGTTGGCCTCAAACTTGTGATCTTCTTGCCTCAGCCTCCTGAGTGCTCAGATTAAAGGTGTGCGCATGTGCCACCATCCCCAGTTTATCTTTAATTTTGAAACAAGCTCTCACTAAGTCACCAAGTTGCCAGGCTGGGCTTGAACTTTGGATCCTCTTGCCTCCACTTCCTGAGTAGCTGGGTCTATAGGTATAATTGTGTTATACACTGAATGTTTGTTTCCTTCCAAAATTCATACTGTTAAAGGCCGAGATCCCGGTGTGACTGGTATCAGGAAGCAGGACTCATGGGAGGAGGTAATGGGATTTAGAAAAGTTCTTGTGGGCAGTGTCTTCTTGCTCCCTCCTACTTTGCTATGGGAACACAGCTAGAAGCCAGCCCTCTAAGCCTGGAAGAAGGTCCCCACGAACATTTGACCAAACTAGTATCATGCTCTCAGATTTCCAGCCCCCAAAACTATGAGCAATACATTTCTTCCATTTAAGTCCCTCGGTCTATACATTGTTACAGTACCCCACACTGACTGGACCATGGTTCCCTTTAACTTTGACTATAAAAAAAGGAAACCAAGGGAAATGTAGGCTGATGGAAGAAAAATAGTAAAGGGTATATACTGCCCTTGTAGATCCTCTTTTGTATAAGTAAATCTAAAATGGCAATGTATGTGGCTTGTTACAAGTTTTCCAATAAGATTTCTAAATAATCAAGTTAAATGTAGTTTCAGCGGGGCAATTAAAATGTAAGTGATGCTGAGATGCTTTGAAATGTGTTCTTTTGCATTTGCTCCATGCAATAACAGGGAGCACTATCACTGTGTATGGAGCATGGCATTGTGTAATTCACAATGAGTATGCACTCACTCCACCTTCCCAACATCACAATCACATAGTCATAGCATTGACATTCACGGGTAGACGTAGAAACAGGCACAGGGGAGAAGGGATGAATGCAAAGCCAAGTGATTGATTCTTACTAGCCCAATGCCAGTGCACACACTTTTAACTGTTAAGAACCATGTTTTGTTTTGTTTTGTTTCAGTTTCCTCTGCTTTTCTGCCCCAGTTTTATTCATCCCTCAAAGCCAGGCTCAAACTTTTACTATTTATTTATGTTTCGGTACTGGGAATTGAACCAAGGGCCTTCACACTGAGCCACATCACCAGCCCTTTCTGTTATTTTACATTTTGAGACGGTCTCTGTGAGTTGCTGTGTTGTCCAGGTTGTGCTCAAACTTGTAATCCTCCTGT